CCAGCAGCAGTAGGCTGAATTGGCAACATCGGGCAGCAGAACTAGCAGCGCTGGTTCGTGGCAGCAGCAGCAGCAGCAGCAGTCAAAATGCGCCGCCAGCGACAGAATCACCAAGAACGCCAACAAAGGCACACACAAAAAAACGAGCATCCGATCTAGGTCCCAAAAGTAAGATGATTCCATGTCAGACCTGCAGCCAAAGCTCTTGTTGAAATGCAGCTTCATGTCGCCAGCCTCGTCGAGCATCACCCCGCAGGCGCATTCCCCGAGTCCCTCAAAGCGGCTCACTGCCAGGGGTGCGGTGAAAAAGGCGGCCAGCCCCGGCGAGGGCTGCACATTCGCAATCTTGCAGTCCACGTGGGCCTGGCGATCTCTGGCGATGCTCAGCTGCCAGCACTACCCGGCGTTATAACAAATAACCCTTGTTTTGCAACTCCCCCAATTTTCTCAGTCTTCGCTTCCTGAGAGTGGGCAAAACGCTGTTAACGTTGCACTCCGACATGAAGCGGCAAAAACGACACATTGGGACGCCACCAGCGCGTGATACGGTTGATGTGCCAAACAATAACTGCACAATACTGCACAAATGCAACAAGTCTTGCCTGGGCGTGGCTTCTGAACACAAGTGTGTGAACAGGACTGTGGTAGTTGGTGTTCTTTTGGCTTACGCAAACAACAACCGAAAAGCCCCGGGGCGTCATCACACTGACAAGCCCAGGGCTTTCAACTTTCAGGCAGGCGTCTGTATATTCAAGCAACCAGATCCTGGCCATTGAAAAGGGAAACAGCGTAACAAATGGGGTTCTGCTGAACCACGTATTCAAGCAACCAGACCCTGGTTATTGAAAAGGGAAACAAGGTAACAGACAGGATTCTGTTCCAGCAACCAAATCCTGGCCGTTGATTCTCGCGAACCAGGTTGCCTTGGTTTCAGCCAGCCTTGTGCTGCAGCGAGGATGTGCTGGTGATGCATCCGCAAACCACCACCAGCGACCCAGCCTTCAGAGCCACCTGGTCACCAGCACGCGGTGGATGCCGGCAGCGCCGACCGTTTTGGTCTTTTTTGTAATAGGGATCCTTACATTATACACCGGAACATTGCCTTGTACATGGTGGTTTCCCCTTTATTTTGGTGTTGAAAAAGCCATCTTTCAAATGGTGGCAAAATCGATCTTTTAAGGAGCCCTGAACAGGTTGCTGGCCTGTGGTTCGCCACCCGTGTTGGCTTCATGCAACCCTCGGGTTCGACGAGCACCCAGAAACGGCTTGACGGGCAATGCCCGGGTTTTGGAAACTCTGCGAGTGACGAATGCTTGTTCCTGGCTATGATGTTTTAGCCTGAACCAACTCAAAGCGGTTGGTGGGCATGAACCTCCACTAGAATGATGTCCAAAGGCTATAACCCTCATGATGAACCAACTTGCCTATCTGACAGAGGAAGCTCTGAATACGCGGGTGAGCTTGCTTACCCCTGCTAAGAACACACAAGGGACCGCTCCGGATCGATCGGCTGCAACCTGGAGCGGCGCACGTTTCCAGCAACTATCCTCTGATGAGTGAAAGCGTAACTGTTGGTACTGGCTGGAATAGGTCCCAGTGCCGTTCTGACACTGTCGAACTTGAAAGACCGTACGACCAAGGGGGAATCAACCCTGGAATGTTGCACAGCAAAGCATCAAAAGGGAGTGGGCGTTCTGGCATCGTTGGTCTCCCGTCAAAGGCGAGGCCAACGGCCAAGAAGCCTTCATCCGATCCCCTGAAATGATCAAACGGAACAGGTTTGGCGGGGACAAGTCCTTTTCGCCACAATGGCAAGCGGTATTCGGTGCGATTAATTCCACACATCCTTCGCTTGCAAGGCATGCCTTGTTCGAGTTCCAACTCTTCTGAAGGTTCTTCGCTAGATGTTGCTACTTTTCACTCAGGTGTTAACCGCAACCATATCAAATTTAACAGACCCCCCCCCCCCCTCACAGGATTGCTCGGACCTTCGGCCCAGGATCCTTTGGCAAAACCAAACCACTTCTTGTATCCTGAGCTGCCAGCTTCTCAGCGGCGTCTCTGAAAATCGAAGACTTTTCAGCGGGGTTCTGGTACTTGGTGCTAGGCAAACTCTCGCTAAGTGGCCCTCCAGAGATTCAGCTGAGTCTTCTCAGGCAACCCTTTGAACTGTTCGAGAGTTGTGAGGTGGGAAGTGTGATCTGCCTATGGCCTTCATTTCAAAATGGTTGGTGGACTTCCACCTAACGATCACTGAGTAAAGCTCACGCCCGTTTGGCCATGGGTCAAAATCCAAATCGTACCCCCAGTGAACATCCGATTCAATCCAACCACTAAAATAGGTTCTAAAATGGGTGGTGAATTCTCCTACCAACCAAAATGGGATGCCATTTGACAACCACAGCCAAATCTACATGAAACCCTGTCAAACTTCTGGCAAGAAAAAGCATAGGGCCCCCTCCCCTGGTAAATGCTTGGTTGACGTTGGAAGGGGAGCAAAATTTAAATTTCAGCAGTTAAGTGGGGATTTCCCACTAAACCACAATAAGCAAAAATGTAAAATGCTTCCCAACAACAACCATGAATGGAGCCAAAAACTAAAACCTGCGGTCCATATCCTGGTGGATTCATTTCGACCCACGCCCATTTCGGAGCAGCCCTTAGGCTCGGCGCCAGCTTCTGCTCCCCGATCGCCACGCCATCAAAGCCGGCCCAGGACTTGCTGTAGAACTTCACCTCGCACCAAGAAACCGTTGACTTCGAGTTCTGCCAAAATGAATAGCATGGTCCAACAGGTTGGTATAGACCTCGCTACAACCTCTATGAAAGTAGGCAGTAGAACCGCCGAAAATGCTGACTTCGAGTTCTGCCCCAAAAAAACACATGTTTCCGAAAAGGTCGACTTGGTTGCGGTTGATCCCCCTGCAACAAGCTTGTTTTTTGTTGTTGGGGTTTAGTGGAAAACTGCTTGATTTCCAAAAAATCTAAAGATCCCGCACAGTAGCGGTCAAGTTGGTATAGACCTCACTACAACCCCTATCAAAGTAGGCTGTAGAACCGCCTAAAGTGGCCAGGGATAAATTAGGCGCTCAGGTTCCCGCAGCGCAACATGAATCCCATGGGTTGTGCGGACATGCTGCTTCTTTGAGGGCCCGTCACCGGCAAATGCTCTGACACCTTGGGGTGCCATCCCCGAAATTGAATCGAATGCATTTCCAACCTGCCCCCACCTCATCAGACTGGCGGCCTATTCCAGGCGGCTGAGCCGCCATGTGGCAAAGCGTGGTGCGAACTTGCGTCTGAGAACAAGGATGTGCAAGAAAGCCAACTAGATCCTCCAGTAGAGAGGTTAGAATAAGGGTTCCCGTTTTTTTTCTGTAGTCCATTTTAGTAGGGGAACCCTCCACCAGAAAAGGGTCAAAGGGCACCTAGCTGGGGGAGCTAAACAAGCAAAGTGCACCAGAGCGATCCTAATGTGCCCACCAAGTCTAAACACATGCGCTGACACCGCCCGGCCACTGGCGCGCCTCTGTGTGATCAAACATGAGCACACGTCTCAGCGGCGAATGCCATGCATATGAGCTGGCCTGACCAATTTGACTCCTGTTTCAGTGTAAATTGGCATGGCCCAAGTAGGCTCCAACACAATCCAAGAAGGACAAGATGGTGAAGTGCGTCACAAATGAGTCGAGCTCGGACATGGCAATGCTTGGTTTGAGTCTTCACTTTTCATATGACGCTTTTTCTCGAAGGCTGAACAAAAACTCGCGACTGACTGAGCCGGCACGGGCGCAGGAAAGCCGAAAGCCAAAAGCGGCGAGAGAGTCTTGACCGTGCCACGAAGACTCAGGTGAATTGGTCTACAACTCTCCAGGGACTGTGGAAAACGAACAGCCCCCAAGGCAAAGTGTAGGAAAACCGCTCCCCAAATTGACTGTGCGTGTGTTTCTATGATATATCTATTTGGATCCACAAACCGAAAAGTCCAGAAGCTGGGGGTATAGTTGTTACAGATACTGGCAAAAAGCAAGGCCTGTCCAATATCCTGAATCCAGAGCATAGGGAGTTGGCCTACCTAGGCTCTGCAAGAAACAACACGTCCAGTCAGCCCCCATCCTTTTGCAGCGGGCGGGGTTCCTCCCAGAAGCTCTTGATCCCTTCGCCCATATGCGTGTGTGCGTGTGCTCTGTTTTGTGCTGTTGTTGCTACAAAAATAAATACACATCTGGGTACCATTTTCAGGTTGACTTCAAGGGAGACCAAACGAACAACCGCCATTTTATAAGGGGTTTCCTTATTCCGACACCCCCTGAAAGGGGCCCTATCCAGGTGTCAACGATGTGCCGCTTAGGAGGTGTCCGGCACTACACAAGACTTGCTTCTCGCCGTTGAACCACGTTCCTGCGAACTCTGACATCTCAGGGGTCCTTTGGTCTCTCTTGCAAACCAGTGGCTTCCAAAAACTGGCAGCGCAGTGACCGATGACTTTCTGGGGAACCCGCGAAAAGCGAGGGCTCTGGGAGGGCTCAAGCTCGCTGAACTGGGTTTCCCTAAACAAATGGGATCCTGGCAGGGTTCGGCCCCTTGCTTTGACAGGTAAAAACAAGTGATCACAAGATTTGCTTCAACAACCTCCTGAGCTCTCCTTTTCCGGGGGGACATTGCCCAACCCTGGACAGTCCCTATATTTCCCCTGGTTGTAAACTTCACCCTTTTGGGGCAATTTACAGAGATCCTCCTCTTGGCTTTGCGGTTGTTCGTTGGAAAGGCCCAGGGAGTCGACTCGCTGTCTTTCCGAAAGAACGAACGGCTCCAGCCGACCAATCCATTCCTCTGAGGGTTTTGGTATTACACCCTGGGATTACACCCTTGAGAAATGACCCAGAATGGTTCAAAATAACGTGGTTTTATCCGGAAATGTGCCTGAATCAGGTCAATACCCAGTGGGTGTATTCCCAGGGTGCAATACAAAAATCAATAGAATTCCGTCGATCGATGTCCTTCATGTTCTCGGCTTCGCTCTGACGCCGCAGTTTGGAGACCTCCACCTTCAGCACATCCCGCTCTGCCTCCAGCACTGCGAACGCATTCTCCAGCTCCGCCCAGCCTCAAGTTGAGTCCACAGAAACATTGGACCAGGGAAAAATATACTGGAGACATGAGCAAAGCAGTCATATACATCATTGGTGCGACCACCCTTTTTGAGAAGGGAAACTGCTCACTTCAGGAGGATTCCTCTGAGTATGTTCTCCGCATCGACAAGTGGTCCCTGCCCTGAAGGGGGCAAAATAGGGGAACACCCAAAATAAGCTTCCTGCTGGTTTGCGTTTAAAAGGCCTCAAGATGGTACCATCAAAAACGCACTTACCCAACCACCCATGGCCCTATTCCATATGCCTACATGTACGCCAAATGCACTGGATTCCCCACATGGAGTGTCTAAACCAAAGTAATGCCCTGCTGGAAGCAAAGTAAACCGCATGAAAACAACAGCCACAGAGTCTGCTCTTTGCGAAGTCAAACATAAGCGCGTCTACGCTGCTTGGCGGTGATAACCGTGGCCGCCAGAATGACAACTGCTTGGCTGTGATAACCGTGGCCATCTGCGTCCTAAAGTAGAGGGGTCGTAAAAAAATGAAAAGTATCCGTTATATGGCAATGGGTCAAAATCCCGTACCCCAGTGAACATCCCAATCCCGACTAAAATAGAGCAAGATGGGTGGTGAATTCACCGAATCGATTCCATGGGTCAAATGACCACCACAGCCATATCAGTCACATGTAGAAACAAATCACACGGGGCTCAGGGCATCCACAACCTCCGCCCCAAATATTCCGCTGGCTTGCGGGTGAACGCTTCAGTGATACCCAGTGACCAGAAGTCCAATGACCAGCTCCAAAGTGCCGAAGTGCCCTCCCAGGTGACAAGGTGAGAGTTTCAACTAGCGCTTTGCCGTTTGGGTTCACAGAAGGAGCATACATCTGTGAAAACAAGAGGGAGCTACATGTACAGTCTACCTCAATTGAAAAAGGTGAGCATAAGGCCCGTTCTGGCTACCTTACTGCTCACAAATTCCAGGCGCTCTACTCATGCCAAAAAGTCAGGTGTTGCATCGGTGCACTTCTGGCATTTAGCAAGGCTTATGAAAGGACGATCAAGCTGGGTGTCAAACATCAAGTCTATGAACGCATACCTTTGTGGTGTCCTTTTAAGGCATCAACAGTCGCGTAATGCTTCTGGATTCTGCACGAGTAGATGCACAACATCTGAAGAAAACGTCCGCTTGTCAAACCAGCAAACATATACACTCATTCTGTTGGGCTAGAAGCTGGGGCTTGTACAAACAAATTTCCCGGAGAAAAAAAACATGCTTAGGGCATGAGGCACTTCTGTGAGCGTTCATGGGCACAACCTTTCTGTTGCTTCATGTCGAAGAAGAAACACATCATGACATCTAAAAGTTGGGCGTTTCCCGAATCAGGAGATGCTGAATTACATGTTTCCCTTTCACTATATCCATACAAAAGGAAGCTCCCTTGGAACACTCAGTTGTTGCTGTGCCATTTGGCCACCCACAAACTCCCTAAGGGTCGCGCACTCAGTGCTCAGAGACCCGGATTCGTTCGTTCGAACACTCAAATCTGACAGGGGTCCCTTTGACCCAAAGCCCAACTTTTCACATCGCTCGTCTCCGGGGCAGCCGGCGGTTCTGCCATTCCACCGCTTCCGGGTTCAGGTTGACCGCCATGGCGCTGCTAGAGTCGTTTGAGTCCAATGCGTGCGGGCAAGACTTTTCTTGGCTGAGGTGTTTGCTACAAGGCTTGGTTGCTGTTGAAACTCTGCAAAAAGTTTAACTTTTTGTGGCTTTGGTGGAAAAGCCCTTGATTTCCAAAAAAGTTAAAGTCTAAAGATCCGACCCAATAGCATTCAAGAAGGTGTTGCGTTTCCAGAACACCAACCGGAAAAGGGAGAAAAAAACATGAAAAACAACTACTGGTCCCCAAGTTGAGGAAGCACGCACGACAAGCTTTGAGAAGTGCGGCTGATGAAACCTGACGTGGGGATTTTGACTCAGGTCAGTGGTCGAAGAATTTGTCGCGACCTAGACTGAGCGACATTGAGCTAAGGCTTTGAAGATGCCTTCTGTGAGAGAGCCGGAAAGGCTGCAGGCAGAGCCAGCCTTATGTTTGTTTTTGTACAAACTTCCCGCAACTGCCCCCGCTTCCCGGAAAAAAAGGGCCAGCGAAGGGGGAAAGTAAAAACTTTTGCTTGGAAAATTGGACAATGAGTAACTTACACTTCAAGTGCAATGCGGATGAGGCACAAAGGTTGCATTGGCATCAGCTCATGCCACAAAGCAAACATTGAATAGCCATTGGTCATTTGCGGGATGCTCTAAATGTCCTTGCTACTTGAGGGATCCGTGCACGAAAAGGCACTGGCGGAACAAACGGGAACAAAACAGGCAGGGCCCCTCTTAGCCAAACTTCCGTGCATTGCTTGAACTTGGGAAGGCATGGCAGAACTTCAGCAAACGGCTTCTGAGACCATGCGGAGCCGCGCAAAGGCGCACCTCTTGACGTCTTCGAATGTTGTTAGACAGAAGGACACGTCATTTGTCTCATGGAGCAGCTCACGCACTTGAAAAGCGCCATTGGTGGCCTTTGCATGTGTCTAATGTTCTACACTGCTCGAATTCCCAGCTCCGAGGCTTGGGGGGCAGGTATTTGGCTTTTTGCATGTACCTGGGTTGGTAGAGAGTTTCAGCTATCCTGGAAAAGCTGGTCGTTCCTTGATTCGTGTGGTGCATGCCAACAAAAAAATAGAGCCTTGTCCTTTGGATGGATCGGCTCCGAATCTTGTGACCGCGCCTTTCTTCTCTGCCGCATCGCCGCATCGCCGCAGCGCCGCTCGACTCAGTTGGAGTCCTTCTCCAGGTCTTCGATCTCCACCACAGTGCGCGTGGGAGCCTGCGAACGGAACACCGTTAAGAAGGAACGCTCTCCGAAAAAAGGAGGCCCAAAACATGTGCGCCTTTGCTTTGGGTAGCTTGCCTTGCCTTTAAAGCTACTGAGAATTAAACATGCTTGGTCAACGCCCCAGAAAACGGCCCAGGCCTAAACCGGAGCTGAAGTGAACCTGCTACTCTGGCCAGACCCAGGCGAAAGCAAAACAAAAATAATGATTGGGTGAAAGAATCAAGCAAACTCTACTCAGAATCGTCGGAGTCACCGCCACTTGGTGTACAAGTTCCGAATTCAGACCTGTTCGTTCCATTCTCTAATATTACACGATGTTTGAGCCGGGAAAGGGGTGAGTCGCACCCAAATAAGAAATATAGTCCTCCCCGCAAAAGTGCTTTCATGGTGCCTAGGGGGGCGGGTTTGAAGAACTATGCCAAGGGAAACAAGGAAACTCTTGGCAGCCCCGTGTGCGTTGTTTTGATAATTTCCAGCATCTGTTCGGATGACTGCAGCGTGTGAGTTGCTCTGAGAATATCCTGCATCTGTTCAGATGACTGCAGCGCTGGACACCCCAAATCGATTTGATGACATGCAAGTTCTCGTTCAAAACAGTGAGGAAGCCCCTACAAGCGGGAGCCCCTACAAGCGGGAACTCTTGACGGACATACTAACCACTCCATGTTGAGAGAGCGTGCGCTCTCTGCCCAAAACTTCTCCTGAGCCACATCGCCACCTACATGGTCCATAGCTGGTCTGCAAGTCAAATCAGCTCTGCCATCCATTGTACATTGCCTTATGATCCATGCACAAGGAAGACTCTGGGCACAAACTCTCTTGAAACAAACGGAGGGCTGGGCCTTGGCCCATTGTCTAAACATGCCTTCACTACCCAGCGTTTGTGAAACACTTCAGGTCTTTGTTAAAAACAAAAAAATGGTGGGGAAGGGCGTGTGTCTTTTTTGGAGCCTAGTCTTTCAAGTTTGTTTGTTTCAGGGAAACCAACAAGGACCACCGCATTTTGTTTGGTCCACCTCCCTGACGCATACCGCCCGTTTCAGCCCATCTGGCCGAAGCTTCGGCCTGCCGTGGTGTCGAGGGCGGAGATGCGGCCGGGCCCTCCTGGCGAACTCACGTCGTTGCGTGGCTCTCGGATTAAAATCGACCTTGCGGAGTCATAGCTAGGTGAGCTTAGGGTTTAGGGTACCCGTTTTTTTCTATTTTGTCGATTGTAGTAGGGGAACCCTCCCCCAAAAAAGGGAAGAGAAGGGCACTGCTGGGGGACCTTATTCTAAGTTGGTACCCGACTCTTTTTGTGTAGTCTATTTTAGTAGGGGAACCCTCCCCCAAAAAGGGGGTGAGAAAGAGCACTACCGGGGGACCTAGATAGGGTGTTTTTCCAAAAGTGCGGGATGTTCTGTAGACTGGGACACCCCCAATGAACAAAGCAGGGGTCATGAACCCCGTGTTCCCCTTGCCGCATGAGGAACACATGGCTGTCAAAACCTGTTGGACCACGTTCAGGGGTTGGAGGCATGTTATTTCCGATTGTTTCTCTTTCAACTCTTGCTCCGACATGGCCGTAGGGTTGACGCACAGCCACATCTACACATTACCAGCCTAGGCTGTCCTCAGATCCCCCGCCAAAAGTTTAACTTTTAGTGGGTTAAATGGAAACCCCCACTAAGCACTAAAAGGCTAAACAGCTATGGAACCGGATGGCTGGGAGCCACCAAGTTGCTGAAGTGTCGCTTTATCTACAAACTATCGCGACATCTGCTTTTAGCTAAAAAACAACAGTTCTTTACTAAAAGACCGGCGTGGCTCTTCCGTCCTAAGCCTTCGGTGGTCTGCCTGCCCAAAAAAAACAAAAACAAAAACAACAAAAGCAGTCAAGTTCCGGACGATTCAGTCCCGGCTAATTCACACTTACTGACGCTGAATTGTCCTAGGTTTGCAGCTTGATTTGCCTTCAGACAAGCATTTGCCTTGCTAAAGCGCTGCGGATGCTGAGCACTTTATCTATCGCGACATCCACTTAAATTTTATGAATTGCTGGAGATGCTGCGGGTGTCGTCCACATTGTCGATAAACTATCACGGCATCTACTTTAAGCACAAAAGCACGTTCTTTCCCAAAATACTCGTGATGCTGGGAATGTCGACTAGTTCATTGACAAAGACTGTAAGCAGACCGAGTCATATCGAGCTCGAAGACTGCCATTTGCCCCATTTGCCCCATTTGCCCCATTTGCCCCATTCTACATGGGGAGGAAAATTGTATAAAACTAAAATGCATAGGGTACCTAGGTTCCCCCCCTATATACATTTTCCTGGAATAGGGGATATTCCGATTCTCAACGTCAAGTTTGGAAACCGCGACATCTTGTTAGCGGGTTTCATGCTGAGCCGAAAGAGTTCCGAGAAATACATATCCGTGCATATAAATGACGTACCTGTCGCTTTACTCAGCCAGGGGGCACTGGGAAAGAATCACCCTGGTATATATGCTGGCAGATATATATATATATATAATGTATATAATGTATAATATATATATATATATATATATTGTTGCATCAATATATAGCTCACCCCCCCCCAGGGCCTACCTTTTCACTTGCACAGTCTAGAAAAACTGATAATTTCAACAGTAGGGGGTGAGCATATATATATATATATAAAAATATGTACATTTTTCTTTGATGTTAGACACAGTTTCCTTTATATATTACTCTGCTGCTAGAAGCTCAAACCAGGTCATTCAAAGTATCTCTTTTTTCTTGTAGCAATGATGTCAGAAGCCAGTGAAATCTCTCTGGAAACGGCCCTGAATGCCACCAACGCGCTCTTCCTCAAGAACTTGTCCAAGCCCAATGTCGTGGACTTGCCTCGTGGTCCTGTCTCGCCTACTGACCTTCCTCTTGATCATCCCAAGGACAAGAGCAAGGCAAAGCACTTCTTCGACTTTGTTGGCCCTATAGCCTTCGATGCTACTTTGCAATCTCAAGTCAGCAGCGCGGCTAAGGATGGCCGCTTTGCGGACATGCCAGCGCCCTTTCGCTTGAAGACTTCTCCTGGTATGTCATGTGGTCTTCAACTTGTTGTTCTTCCTCTTCCTAATGCGCAGCACTTCCTCCCTGGAAGCCCCAAAACCTGCACAGGCTCAAAAAAATGCAAAAAATGCAAAAAGCCAGACCAATCAAGCCCTGACCTCTGACATTGCATCTGGGTTTTGCATTTGTTGCATTTCTTGAGCCTGTGCAGGTTTTGGAGCTTTCAGGTTTGGATTTTTTGCATTTTTTTGAGCCTGTGCAGGTTTTAAGCACCCAAGGCTCCAAAACCTGCACAGGCTCAAAAAAATGCAAAAAATCCAAACCTGGACGCCTCAAAACCTGCACAGGCTCCAAAAAATGCAAAAAATGCAAAAGTCCAGACCACTCAAGCCCTGACCTCTGACATTGCATCTGGGTTTTGCATTTTTTGCATTTTTTTGAGCCTGTGCAGGTTTTGGAGCTTCCAGGTTTGGATTTTTTGCATTTTTTTGAGCCTGTGCAGGTTTTAAACATCCAAGGCTGCATAGGCTCAAAAAATGCAAAAAATGCAAAAGTCCAGACCAATCAAGCCCTGACCTCTGACATTGCATCTGGGATTTGCATTTTTTGCATTTTTTTGAGCCTGTGCAGGTTTTAAACATCCAAGGCTCCAAAACCTGCACAGGCTCAAACAAAATGCAACAAATGCAAAAGTCCAGGCCAATCAAGCCCTGACCTCTGACATTGTATCTG